TGTTTCTCGGTAGACCCTAGTTCAACTCCTCGGTCATGGTTGTAAATAGCCAACTGGTCTGCCTCCCACCGGTTGGGATTTTTAAACCTATTACGTTTAGTTGATGTATTTGTTTCCTTCATTTAAAGTGGCTTGCCTGTGAACTAGCTACGTGTAGCTAAGCGTATTGACCACTATAAACAACAACAAAGTCTTGGTAGAAAATATCGACTCGCCATAAAATTTTCTCTACCCAATTAACCGTTGAATTTATGACCAGAACCTAACTATGCCATTAATTTCCTTCCCTAAATTTCAGACATTTGAATTGTATCTCTAACGCTCGCTAAAGCGATTCAATACAGCAGTCGTTATCTTCCCATGTAACATGACAACCAAGGGACTAATGGAGTGATTCCCTTGCTCTCCCTGCAGGCGGAACAGCTACCTGGGAAACGCCCCTTGTCGTATCCAGCACTTGCCCTCCGGAGGCGTCCAGGTTTCAAAGGTAACAAAACTTTGAAATTGAACTTCCTAAATTACCAAGTTTGATTTGAATGCAAGTGAAGCTTGCAGGCCACGATAATAAAGAAGTTGATAAATTAGGTCAAATTATCGTGATGTATCATTAAATTCCCCCAATTCCTTTTCAACAAATGCATGGAGTCTAGTAAGGAGTATTTCTAGGCTGATCATGAACAACTTGTGCGACGTACAAGGCAGCTACGTTTCCGAATCTGTAGCAACTCGGAATCTCGCTTTTCTGGTGGACCGAACGCGGAAGTCGCGAAATCGACAGTGCTGCGAATTTCACTGTTTCATCATTCACTGAACTATTTACATTACCTGCAAAAAATGTCGGACGTTTTTTTCGGAAGTTTAATTTTCGGACGCTTTTTGTCTCATTTAGGACAATAATTTCGGACACGTTGCTGAAACATAGTTAAAGTAAATTTACCCCTACAAAACACGAATTAGACTCAAACAACATCATAATTAAAGATGGTAGTTTTACTGCACCCTCAAGATTTTACGGATACAACGACGAGCAAAGAACACGAAGTAATATCAAGCCGTGACGCATGTGAAGCAGTGTCTCAACTAGAGTTCGCTCCATAAAGCTCGGCATAAAGGAAACTTAGAGCTTTGGAGCTACTCAAAGTGTTATACTGTAATGTAAATATTTCAGACGCTTAAAAATTGCGGACGGTTTTATTTTCAGACACTGTCTTTGTCCGAAATTAAAATCGTCCGAATTTTTTTGCAAGTACTGCAAGTAAAATGCAAAGAGCGTTTCATAAGCTAGAATGACGTTAGTAACATGTCTATATCTGGTACCGTAGGACCTCTCATAAAACCTTAAGACACAAAGCATCTGGATTCTGTGTGCATCCATATCAAGGATGGCCAAAACAAGGAGTTTCTGCTATCATGTGGAAAGATGACTGTAGCGAGGAAAGACTTCAGTTGGATCTCTTCAAGCTAAGAGGTTAGTAAAAGGACAGGGTTTGTTACTGATTTTCAGTTCAAAGCTTATGGGCCTTTAACATCCCTAAAACCTTTTATAGGTCGAGAACATTTGAATCAAATCCCTAAAGGAGACTGACCTGGGCGTGGCGTCACGGTATTTTGAGTTATTTTGGCCACATACAAAATTACCTTTAAATGGTAGGAAACCTGAAAATAATTCATTACTTAAGTCAAAATCTTGCTTTCTCTTTGATCAGTTCGAGTTGACAGACAGTTTAGATTTTCTTTTCACAAACAAATGGGAGTACTTTTCCACAGCTAGTGTCGTCCCAAGCCCCCCTATCAACCGTCATTCTCACGCAGTCGTGGTTATCATTCTGGTTGTGTGACAGACTGGAAGCCCACTTAGTGTAGGTCACGTGAGTACCGTCAGGCCAACTGAATGTTCCTTCCGAAGTGACGTCATTCAGACCGATCCATACTCCCCCAAATGGATCTGTAAACGATTAATGCACATATTAAAGTGGACCTTGCTACTTTCGAGTGGAAAAATAAGAGGGCCCCTCTCCCAAGAGCGTGGCGTTGCGTGACAGAGAAGGGACCAGAATTGGACTAATTACGTCCGATGAAGCAAAAATGGAACTGAAAGACTAGGTCGTATGAATGAAGTAACTGTTTAACTGAGTTGAGAGAAAGACAGTTACCATTAAAACCAAAGGAAATCTCAACATAATCATTGATAGTTGCTTGCGTAAAAAAAACCGACGCAGGAATTTTAAAATATAGTGGAAAACCATTGAAGAAGTAAGGCTGGGCCGAAAGTATCTAAAAATTTTAAGTTGATGACGTAGTTCTCAGCCTTTTTCAAATTCACTTAGTGTTAGTCTTGTATTTTAAATTGCCCATTTATTTGAGGTTAGTTATTCACCTGCCATATCAGCTAGCTCTTCACCAGTGAGATCTCTTCCAAAAATCATCAAGTCTCTCAAGTGTCCCCTTAATGATGTGTTGGCGATGTCCCTCTTTAGCCCAATATCATAGGACGAAGGGAAACTATCCTGGAATGTTATGTAGGTCGGCACAGTGGCCTGGTTCCCAACCAACCGACCATCAATTAACAAGAAAACCGCTTTTGAGCTTTTTTTCCAGACCACAGTGGCATGAAACCACTGATCAATTGGAGGAAGCCTGTTAAAACATATGAATTATTGTTACTTTGCCTACAGAGTGTTTCACATGACGTCACAGCGGCTATGTTGATGTTGAACTCTTTTTCATTCCTTCAAAACTTTGGAAAAACGAAAACACGTCGCCATTTCCTAGACGACTCTGGCCACTGCACACTAATCCCTGATAGTGTACAATCACACAGCCAATCACATTGCAGCATTTGCATTATTGTTCAATTAGAATTCTACTAATGATATGCCTAGCACTGCACAGTGCTAACTGGAGACACTAAATGCAGAAAGGAATATTGTAAATAGACCTGAAAACTTTGTTCTAATCTTGGTTCTTGGAGAGAAATCAGCAACATTCATACAGGAGTGGTTTTTCGTTTTATTTATAGCTTGCACAAAAATTATCTGTCAAAGAGTTGAATCTTCTATATCTCACCCTGCATTAAGAGATGGTTCGATTGTTCCTTGGTTATTTTCTACCATGAAATGAAGTTTTCCATCGGCATGGGCAATAGCCGTAAATAGTTGATGGATGAGTGGGTGGATCCTGCAGTTTTACCCAGCTGGCAATGGTGAAACTTTCTATGGCATTTAAGTCCACAGCAGGGGTTGTAGCGTGTGAACCTGAGCCATTCAAGTACATTAGGACTTCACACCATCTTCCTCTTCATACCTCGCTCCATCAATGAGACTGTTTAAAGAACAAAGAAAAGCTTCTTAGTTTGTAGGAATTCCGAGGACTGTGAGACAAACAGCCTGTTTCATTCATGATGTCTCTACATGTGCTTTACATTGCAGTAAGTCCATCTCAAGTTAATTAGACCACGCTAATAAAAAAACTGTTGTTTAGTCACTACAGGATATTATAATATACATTGACTAATGAAAACAGTTCAAGCACTCACTCTCATCTAGATAGTTTAATTGTCCTCTTGTCTTGCCAATACAAGACAATTGCTATATTACTCAGGTAAATTCTCTCTACATTGTGCCTACAGGATTAAGAAAAACCATGATCTACTAGCAATTACAATGATGTAATACAGTGGGCCCAGTGAGTGGAGAAAATTAAATTAGTACATGTAAGAAAAAACAACCTTGATGGGTAAGGGGAGTTGATCAATCATGGAACTTTTGAACAGAAAAACTAACATCAAGCAATCTTTATAATGAACAATTAACTTTAATTTGCAAATGGCATTCAAATGCAGTTCTGCTCACCTAACATCAGAATCAGTTCCATCCAGAATCCAATGATTAACAACGCCAGCCGGGCCATTACCTTAATTTTTTAAAAAAAAAATTAAACATCGGTTAAAAATGTCAACTGACCACAGCCAATTTTTTCATTTTACAGTCATAGTAGTAGTAGTAGTGGTAATCTTTAATGAGGATACCAACATCACAGTAGAGTGGTTTACAGAAGGGTGCTCGAAGGAATTACCTAGATAAAAATAACAGCAACATTCAAATGCAGTTCAGTTGTTCATGTAAGACGGGATGGGTCCTCTGATCATGATTTGCTGTCAAACTATTGACACACAGGGGGGCAGTAGGAAAAATGTTGTTGGCTTATCCCTCGTAATGACGAGTAAATACATACCAGTAGTTCACAATCACTTTAGTCACCACACTTAATTCTTCATGGATTCGTAAATTTAGGTCTCTGTCTTTTCGTTAATTAAGGAGGTCGTAACAACCTTTCTGAGTAATAATTAAGTTCTATTACCCAAAGAATTAGTTAAATAACAGCTAATTAAACGTTATTGTATAGTTATTCTTGCTAATATAAGCAGCTGATTGGATGAAACTTTTTGAGTTCAGTGTTATTTTACAGACACAGTATCTCATACTAACTTGCTATGTTTGCTTGAACTTGGTCAAGTAAATGAAAGATAAACTCATTTTCATCTTCGTTGTTGATTGACATCAGTTCTCCACCAATTGACTGACAAGATAATGCAGCACCATTCCAAGTCTTTCCCCCAAGAACCAATTTAAGGAGTTTGGAACCAAATCTATACCAGCCATCAGGTAGAGCTGCATAAACATCCAACAAATGAATAAACCTAAGTTTTTTAATGTCATGTAATAATTCTAATTTGTGTATTGCATAGAGCACTTTTCATTTGAGCATCGTAAAACCAAAACCAAACCAAATACTTACCAATCAGACTAGTTACTCA